CGTCGAGCAAACTACCAAGCTAACGTTGCAATGTCCCCGAAGGCATGCTCTCCAATCGACGTGCAACATGCCACCGTTCGATTGGCGCCCTCCTTGTGCCTGTTTGTCGGCGCATACCGCTCGGGTATTGTCTGCGTTTGAGCCCGCGATGCAGGCGCCATGTTGCGAATTGGACATTCGCAGAAGCCTTGGAGTGCATCCAAGAAACAATCCAAGACTCTGTTCAAGTTAATCCTACATGTGCTATGATTGGCTAATTGTAGTGTAGCCAATAGGGGAGGGTTTAAGCCCTGGAGGGACAGCCCCCCGAGAGGGAATTCACTTTGAATTTGCCCTAGTAGCTACTAGCTACTTGCCGTGACTATGAAAAAATCGTCGCCAATACCAAATGCTTTGGCGCGAGTGACGAGAACGAGGTCCATGGAGACCGTCGTGTCTGTACCAATGCCGCATATGGCGGTGGCGGGACAAGATCACCCCTTGCCTTCTCCGGGGCCATCCGAGTTGGACGAACTCAGGATGCAGAACGTCAAGCGTGCTGCAGCGTCGTCAAGTGAATTTAACAAGATGACGTACGAGCATATGGCGCAGTTTCACGCGCAGAAGCAGGCGATGGCCGTGCGCTTGGAACAAGAATCCGCCCGACAGGCGGTGATGGCGGCTGAAATCGAGAATAGCCGCCGCGAACAAGAAGAATCGCGTGCGATATTGTCGAAGCAGCAAGAACAACTGCGACGCCAACAAGAAGAGATCAAGTTGGCGATGGCTCAGCAAGCCAGGGTAACTGGAGATCACCAATCGTAGTTACAGCAAGCCTCTGAAGCAATGAGGCAACAGCACTCCAAGCTGGAGGAGCTTGACAAGAAAGTACGCCGCGATAGCGAGCACTGGGGACTCTTTGCCGCTGCAACCAATGAGCGAGCGGTGCCGGCGGTGATGAGCCGTTCGGAGACCCTTATGGGTGTTCAGCAAGTGCCGCTGGCCCCGATGTACAAGGGCAGCACGAAGCGTGAGCACCGGGAGTTCATGGATGAGTATCTGGCGTACTTTCGGCGCGTGGAAGCGCTGAACCGTGGTGTGGAAGGAGTCCTCTTCCTCATGCCATTGACGGCATGCATCGATCAATAAATTGTGCCTTGTGTTTGTGAACATGATTTCGGCAAGCCGTTCGAAGAAATCACTGAAGACGAATGGCGGGACTACTTTCTGAGTGCCCAAGTTCATGAACTTGACCTCGATTGGGTTGCCAAGGCTATGGCGCCCTTGAAGATGGACATGCGGATTCGCGATGCGGAATCCCGTGTCGGTCGATTGCTGGCCGATTTCTACGAGAAGCTCGAGCAGCTGGATGTGGTTCACCTGCCCAGCCAGGAGCCGAAACAGTCGTTCAAGATTTTGACGGCTGCAATCCGACCCGCGGCGCTGAAGGCCATGGTAGAGCGGCAGCTCGCTCGGGAAGCAAACAAGGTCTACAAGACCAGCGTGCCTGCGTTTGGCCGCTGGTTGATTCAGTTACTCGACAACTTCATGTTGTTTGAGTTGCAAATGGTGATGGCGGAGAAGAAGGCAGAAGAGAAACCGCGTCGCTAGTACGGCGAGAAATACCGGCAACCGCAACAGCGGAAGCCTGATGGCCAAGCGAAAGGCGTGGTGCCCGCAAAGCAAGTGCTGTTTACAAAAGGCTGCCTGAAGTGTGACAGTGACGACCACAAGGTCGTGCAATGTCCCAAGTGTGCGCGGGGGAAACGCATCGTCTGTTAGAACAACGGGCAAAGCGTCCTCTTGTTGCGGCGAACACGCCGGCAGCCGCTCCAAGCAGCGTGCCGGCAGCCAAGAAGGACGTGGTTGGCGCGGCGATCGACTCAAAGAAGCCAAAACTCGAAGCTCCGCAAGCGCCGCGCACCGTGCGCTGCTCTGTGAATGGCATGGAAACGCTGGCGCTACTTGACAGCGACGCGGATCAATCGGTCGTTTCGCCTGCATTATTTGCGCGGCTGAAAGAAGCCGGCGCTTTGCTTGCGCCTGTGCAAGTTGGATTCTGTCCTGGAGCTGGGTGGATTCATGGAAGAAATGAAGCTTTCCGTCGACCGTGAAATCAAGCTGAAGTTGACGTTCGACACGGAGGAAGGTCGTCTGGTTCTGACGAACCTGACGTGCTGGGTGCCGCAGCGCCTCTGCACAGCGGTTTCGGCGACATTATCGTGAGCCGTGCAGTGATGGCTCGTTTGGGATACTCTCCCATAGCTTTATTGGAAGCTGCGCGGCGTGCTCAAAACGTCTATGACCTTAGCCAGCTGGGCGACCAAGATTCGTGTCTCATGGCGGCAATCAAGGTCCTAGAAGACAAGAAGCAGCCACCGATAGCGCCGGAAGAAGCGGAGCTAAACGTTGATGAAGAATTATCTTGCTTTCGACAAGTTGACATAGACTGGTCAGTAGACGATGACAATGCGGCGGTGCTCAAAGAGAAGGTCGGCGAGTGCCGAGTTGCAGGATGCGATGATGACTATGCCGTCGAGCTGGGAAGGCTGCTCGTCAAATACGAAGATGTGTTCCGACTCAAGCTGGGTCGGGATACGCCGGTCAAGGTGGAGCCTCTACGTGTGACTCTCAAGGCTGACACGAAACCTGTACGCTGCAAGGCACGACGCTACTCGAAGGAGCAGCGGGAGTTCATGGCGAGACACGTGGAAGAACTCCAGGCGGCTGGTTTATGCTATCGCAATCGGCGGTCGAAGTGGTGCTCGGCACCGCTTATCGTGAAAAACACGAAGCGAACGAATTTTGCATGACAGTGGACGTTCGTCCAGTCAACGCTCAGACGGAGCGGATCCTCTGGCCGATGCCAATGCTAGTGGTGATCCTCGACCACCTCTGTGGGCGCCCAAGTCTTTTTCACCTTGGACTTTTTCAAGGGCTATTGGCAGTTTGCGCTGCATCCTGACTCGCAGGAGATGTTCTCGTTCCTTACGGACATCGGCGTTTACACGCCAACCCGAGTGTTGATGGGCAGCACGGACAGCGTAGCGTTTTGCCAGTCATCTGTGCAAGAGATGTTTGCGGACGAGCTATACCGCTATCTGCTCATCTGGCTAGACGATTTACTCGGCTACAGCAAGACCAAGGACGGTTTACTGGACGCGTTGGAGCGCGTACTTAAGATTTGCGAGTTCCGTGGGCTCAAGCTGAACCCAACGAAGTGTCGGTTCTATCAAACCGAAGCACTTTGGTGTGGGCGTGTCGTGCCTGGCGAAGGGGTAAAGCACGACCCCCCGAGCGCATCAAGGCGCTACAAGATTTGAAGGTGCCAGTGACCGGCCAAGACCTCCAGCAATTAATCTGCGCGATGAACTGGATGCGCATGTCCATACCACGCTACAATGTGGTGGTCAAGCCTTTGGCTGACTTGATGGAATGTGTTTACACGTTGGCGGGTGGCCGCACTCGCCAGAAGGTCGTGAAGATTCCGCTGTCGGAAGCCGGCTGGGATGCCAGCCATGTGGGCTGCCTGGCGGAGTGCAAGAAGGTTCTCGGGCAGGCCGTGACGTTGGCTCACCCGAAGAGCGATAAGCTTGTGTGCGTCTTTGCAGACGCCAGTGACTTGCACTGGGGCGGCGTGGTTACGCAGATCTCGCCAGAGCAGGCGGATCGTGAGCTCGATGCTCAAGAGCATGAGCCTCTCATGTTTTTGAGCGGCACATTTTCTGGCGCCGCCCAACGATGGGCTACTATTGTGGAGAAGGAAGCGTTCTCGATTGTCGAGTACTTGAAGCGCGCAGATTATCTTCTCCACAAGCCGGGTGGATTTGCATTACTTACCGATCACGCGAACTTGAAATTTATTTTCAACCTTACAAGTGTCAACGCGACGATCCCGAAGTACACTGCCGCGAAGCTCGACCGATGGGCTTTACTCTTGATGGGGTATGATTACACTATCTATGATATCGCTGGCGAAGCAAACGTCTGGGCGGATTTACTATCCCGCTGGGGTACAAATTCCCCGACAATCTGTCCGATTGTGCAT